AGATGCTCAGAGATATGCTCGAGGGCGGGACTGATCCAACGGCATTCGAAGATTTGCGGTCCGCCACTGACCTTGCTCTCCAAAAGGGCAACGAAAGTGGCCGCTCGCGCCGTTGGTCAGGTGATGGCCACTAGTGTGGTCCAGGAGCGTCAACCTGGCAGACACTCGGAGCGCTGAGCGGATTCGTCTGCTCGACGCCCTTCTCTCCCAGGTTGGCCTTTTTTGGCGGTGCAGTCGAGAACTCTTGCCCAGCAGTCTCCACTGCCCAGGAGCAGACGGAGGCAATCAAACATGTTCTGCCCCGACGACCAGCTGCTGCCTCCACCCAGTCGTCGGCTCAGATGCCTCCCGCTGCTCGCCGCCGAGGACGCCCCCCCGCGGCTCCCCTGCCTCCCGCCCCGCCCCAGCAGCAGCCTTCATCCGGGCCACGGCGTGGAGGAGGCCGCCGGCAGGCGTCACAGCCCCCTCAGGCCGCACACCCCGCTAAACGCCAGGTAAGCGATGATCCTGATACGGGCTGCTCAGTGATGGAGTTGAGTTTTTCCCCAGGAGGCGGGAGCAGGCCCCCTCCTGCCCCCGGTGGAGGGCCGGGGGGAAAATCTTTCGTTTTCAGTTCCCGCTGCTCGCCCACGGGTGGGCAGCGCCCTGAGTTGGTTAAGAAAGACTTGACATCATCACTGAGCCCACAGACTGGAATGAGTGCGCTCGACGTTCCAGTGCGTCAGCCCACACATTCCTCTCTGTCTCTGAGGGTGCGGAAGGGTGCGAGTGTCGTCCCCGGGCTACGCCAATCCCTTCCCCTCTGTCGCCAGACCCCCGGCGGAACGGACCCCCGTGGAACGCTCCGCTTTCCCTGGTCCCTTCCGTCAGGGAGCGGGCTTCGACGCATCCGAGCGGGGTCATCCCTGCACGCGTGCCAGTCGACCCGCCACGCTGCCCCTCCGGGGGGACGTCTGTGGTTCACATGACCCCGTTGGCTCACTTCCTGGAAGCCTGGCTAGTGCTTCCCGGGATATCCCGCTGGGTCATCAGAACGATCAGATTCGGCTACGCGATTCAGATCGCACGGTCTCCTCCCCGCTTCAGGGGAGTTCGCTCCACGATAGTTGGTGGCAATGCCCCACTCCTGAGAGCGGAGATTGCGACCCTGCTGGCGAAGGGTGCAATCGAGACGGTCCCTCCAGCCGAGGTGGAGTCCGGGTTTTACAGCCCCTACTTCATTGTCCCCAAGAAGACCGGTGGGTTACGACCGATCCTGGACCTGCGCATTTTGAACCGTTCTCTCCATCGACTACCGTTCAAAATGCTCACGGCCAAACGCATTTTCGAATGTGTTCGGTATCAGGATTGGTTTGCAGCGATCGACCTGAAGGACGCGTACTTCCATGTGTCCATCTTACCTCGACACAGACCGTTTCTTCGGTTTGCCTTCGAGGGCCAGGCATATCAGTACGCCGTTCTTCCATTCGGGTTAGCTCTGTCCCCTCGCGTCTTCACGAAGATCGTCGAGGCAGCCCTTGTTCCCCTTCGCGAACACGGGGTTCGCATCCTGAATTATCTCGATGACTGGCTGATACTAGCACACTCTCGAGCTCAGCTTTGCGAACACAGAGACTTGGTGCTCCGGCACCTAGCCCGTTTGGGCCTTCGGGTCAACCGGGAAAAGAGCAAACTTTGCCCCGTGCAGAGGATCTCTTTTCTCGGCATGGAGATAGACTCGGTCGCCATGTCCGCGCAGCTCACGAACGAGCGCGCGCACTCACTGCTGACTTGTCTTCGACAGTTCGAGGGCAAGAGTGCGGTTCCACTGAAACTATTTCAGAGGCTCCTGGGGCATATGGCATCCGCGGCCGCGGCAACGCCGCTCGGTTTGCTTCATATGAGACCGCTTCAGCTGTGGCTTCGCGATCGAGTCCCGAGGTGGGCATGGCATCGCGGCTCGCTCCGAGTTCCAGTGACTCCAGCGTGCCGCCGAACCTTCTTCCCGTGGTCGAACCTCAGCTTCTTACGGACCGGCGTCCCTATTCAGCGAGTTTCCAGGCATCTCGTTGTCTCCACGGATGCATCTACCACGGGTTGGGGTGCCATGTGCAATGGGCATGCAGCCGCCGGTTCCTGGACAGGAGCCCAGCGCCTCATGCACATCAATTGCCTCGAGCTGTTGGCAGTACGGCTCGCCCTACACCGCTTCCGAGCGTTGCTCAAGGGCCAGCATGTGCTTGTCCGCTCAGACAACACTACGGCAGTAGCGTACATCAACCACCAGGGGGGTCTACGCTCACGCCAGTTGTCGCAGCTCGCCCGCCACCTCTTGATATGGAGTCAGAAGCACCTGAGGTCCCTTCGTGCAGTTTACATTCCTGGAGACCGGAACTGGGCAGCCGACGAGCTGTCCCGGGTCCGCCCCATCTCCGGCGAATGGCGACTCCATCCCCAGTCGGTCCAGCTGATTTAGGACGAGTTCGGGGAGGCACAGGTAGACCTGTTCGCCTCTCGGGACTCGTCCCACTGCGCCCAGTTTTATTCTCTGACCCGCGGCACTCTCGGCTCGGATGCGCTGGCGCACAGCTGGCCACGGGGCCCACGCAAATATGCGTTTCCCCCAGTGAGCCTCCTTGCACGGGTGTTGTGCAAGATCAAGGAGGACGAGGAGCAGGTCTTGCTGGTGCCCCTACTGGCCCACCAAGACGTGGTTCTCCGATCTCTTGCTCCTCGCGACAGCACCTCCTTGGCCTATTCCTCTGAGACAAGACCTACTCTCTCAGAGACGGGGCACTCTGTGGCACCCTCGTCCCAATCTTTGGAGGCTGCACGTGTGGCTCCTGGACGGCACGAGGCAGGTTTGAGTTCGCTGCCACCTGCGGTGGCGGCAACCATCACTTCCGCAAGAGCGTCGTCCACGAGACACCTTTATGCGTTGAAGTGGAACCTCTTCGTCAATTGGTGCTCTTCTCGCGGAGAAGACCCCCGGAGATGTTCGATCAGTGTCGTGCTTTCCTGCCTGCAAGAAGGGTTGGAGCGCAGGCTGTCGCCCTCCACCCTTAAGGTTTACGTCGCGGCCATTGCCGCTTCTCATGAAGCAGTGGAAGGTAAGTCCTTAGGGAAGCACGACCTGGTCATCAGGTTCCTGAGGGGAGCGAGGAGGCTGCATCCGCCTCGTCCTCCCCTCGTACCCTCTTGGGACCTCTCGGTAGTTTTAAGTGCTCTGCAGAGGCATCCCGTTGAGCCTTTGCAATCGGTAGAGTTAAAGTTTCTGTCCATGAAGACAGCACTCCTGGTTGCATTGGCCTCCATCAAGAGGGTGGGGGACCTGCACGCATTCTCCGTTGACGAAGCGTGCCTGGAGTTCGGGCCGGCTTACTCTCACGTGATCCTGAGACCCCGGCCTGGATATGTGCCCAAGGTTCCCACCACTCCCTTCCGGGACCAGGTGGTGAACCTGCAAGCGCTGCCCCCGGAGGAGGCAGACCCAGCCTTGGCACTGCTCTGTCCGGTACGTGCGCTCCGCACCTATGTCGACAGAACGCAGTGTTTCAGGACCTCAGACCAGCTCTTTGTCTGTCATGGAGGGAGCCAGAAGGGAAGGGCTCTCTCAAAGCAACGGCTGTCCCACTGGATTGTGGATGCCATTGCTTTGTCTTACCAGCAGCAAGGCCTTCCGTGCCCCCTTGGTGTGACGGCCCATTCCACTCGGAGTGTGGCCTCCTCTTGGGCTTTAGCGCACGGCGCCTCGCTAACAGACATCTGCAGAGCTGCAGGCTGGGCGACACCCAACACCTTCGCCAGATTCTATAATCTGCGAATTGAGCCGGTATCCTCTCACGTACTCGTTTCGGCCAGTTCTGGATCCGCTCAGGTGTCTTCGCTTGCTCGCCACTCCACTCCCCGGACTGGATAAGTGCGATATTTCCTCAGTTCTTCCATTGAAGCCTTGAGTCCTCCAGCACCGACGATGCGGGCACCACTGCTGTGGCTCTGGATGCTGGCTAGGTGCCTCCATGCGTACGGTTCCCCCTTGGTAACCGTCTCATGTGTATTATCCACTGTAAGCCTCTCTGAGCATGTGTCTTCCCTTGGCAAGCCATCTGCCACCCCTGGAGCTGAAATTAGTGCCACCTGCGGTTGGTGCTCCAGTGATTCCATATGTGTTCCTATGTGGCCATATGTGTATTCGTAAGTCCTCCCTTCGGTAGGCAGCTGGTAGCATGTCCCCTTCGGGATATGTTTCCCAGTGTACCTTGGTAATCCTGTGTCTAAGTCGGATCCCCTAAGGAAAACAGGTAAGGCTCGGGGGTTCAGACTTTCGCAGGGCACTGGAAGACAGCCTGAAGTTGGCGTGATGGCACAGACCCCCAATCTCCGTCACTTCTGACGTAACTCGAAGTGACTACGAAAGGGAACGTCTCGGTTACGTATGTAACCCTCGTTCCCTGAGTAGGGAACGGAGACGTTACGTCTCCCTGCCACTTCTGCTGTATCGCTGGGTAGATGCCGAGTTCAGTTTTGGCTCCTCAGCGAAGACATACTGCGGTTGCGTTCACTTCCTCCTTTTATACTCACGGAGTAGGGCGGAGTACGCTATGCAAATTTCCGCAGCCCCAAGGCATTGCATGCCATTGGCTCGTGTTTAAATACTCGAAGAGGATTGGCTTTCTATGCGAAACCCCCAATCTCCGTCACTTCTGACGTAACGTCTCCGTTCCCTACTCAGGGAACGAGGGTTACATACGTAACCGAGACGTTTTTTCTACTAGGGACCATCAATTTTTTAATTACCAACATTCTTCAATATATATATATATATATATATATAGTTATTTTTTCAGCAGAAGAAAGAAACTCAAACAGGTTTGAAACAACATTAGGGTAAGTACATGACAAAAAAAAATCCTTTTTTGGTGAAAAAATTACATCCTTTTAAAAATGGGTTGTCAAGGTATACATTAGGTGTACATATTGTAACCGTATAATACAACCATTAAAATGTAAAATTCAAATACCATAGGACAAGCTTTCATTTTTTTGAAGTAATCAATAATTTCTTTCCGGATACTTGAACGCTGTGGCCCACTAACACTGGAATCTGACTTCATCAACCACCGAACAATGGCCTGTGAACCAGGACATATGTAACGGATTATGCAAGTATCATTAACATTATGAATCAATATACAGTATTTAAGGGGAAAAAAGTGTCTTACTTGGAGTACATGGTACCAGCAAAGAAGAACATCAGACTCAGGGAAAACATCGTTCAAAGCATTTATTTCACTCATGTCTTTGTCAACCATGAAGCACCTTTAAAGAAAAAGAAAAGTAAGTCAACTTGTTAAACCTTGGATCCCCCAATAGATCAGTTCCTTAATAAATTACCTTGGTGGCTTAGGGAACAAAGGTCGTAGCCTCCGAAGTGCAAGCTTAAGGGTTTCTTGTGTCTCATTGCTTGTTATTATGTATGCAATAGGAACTCCATGACCATGGTCATCTCTCACAAGCAGTGTAAAAAGTGGAAAGGAATATTGATTCACACAGTGTGTGGCATCAAAAAACACAATGTTACTCCCATGGTCCTGTAAGTCTTTTCTCATGCACTCCGTTTGGAGAACAATTATAAGATCCTGATCATTATCCAGTGGCTGATAAAATACAACATTATCTTTAAAGGACCAGATAATAGTTTTTCTGTACTCTTATAATCATCTTTATCAAGATGTTTCCCTCGAAGCATACAGGTACGGATATTATGTATGTCTTCTGGTGTAACAAAATATTCTCTGGAATGATAATTAACTTCTCCATGAGCTTTTGACCACTGATGAGCTTGAAGGAGGATGACATCTGGTTTTACGCCTAATGTAATCCACTTCTTGATCTCATCCACCAGCTGAGGGTGAATCTGATGAAAATGACCATCTTCTACAGAAACATCATGTCCATTGTGCTGGTCAAATACTCTCTGCACAATAACTTTGTGTCCTTTCCAATCATTTCTCACTTTAAAAGAGAGGTATGCTTTACACCCGACAGCTCTGTGACTTCTTTCATATACATTTCCAGATCTTCTGCAATGGAAAATATAATATCCTCTTCCTTTATCTTTTAAACTGGAACAATTTGTGGTCCTGAATGATTTTGTGTGCTCTTTGTTAATTATTTCTGTGATAAAGTTCTCTTCTTGATCATCTGGTTTAAGAATATGCACCTTGAGTTTAATGTTTTTCTGTCTTATTTTTCTCTTTTCTTCATTTTCCACAGACTTTTTGATAAACTCCTCCATGATGGAACATTTCTGAAATGTATAAACAGAAAAAAATATACTTAGTTAATTCAATTTCACATAATGTTTTTGTTCTGGTTATTTTAAAATAACACGCATCAGCACCAAACACATATATTAACTTTAAAGAGGAAACACTAACAAAAAGCTGATACATTGAAAGTTTACATTTTAAAACATTTATCAGCTTACCATATGAGCTATACAAAGTTATTGGTGATTTCATTGATTCTGCATCAATGCTGGTCCTGTAACAACATTAGCGAATCTACCCCGTATTGAACTGATCATGATGGTCCTGGATCAACATTAGTGAATCTACCCACGTATTGAACTGAACATGATGGTCCTGGATCAACATTAGCGAATCTACCCCGTATTGAACTGAACATGATGATCCTGGATCAACATTAGCGAATCGACCCCGTATTGAACTGATCATGATGATCCTGGATCAACATTAGCGAATCTACCCCATATGGAACTGATCATGATGATCCTGGATCAACATTAGCGAATCGACCCCGTATTGAACTGATCATGATGATCCTGGATCAACATTAGCGAATCTACCCCGTATTGAACTGATCATGATGATCCTGGATCAACATTAGCGAATCGACCCCGTATTGAACTGATCATGATGGTCCCGGATCAACATTAGCGAATCTACCCCGTATTGAACTGATCATGATGGTCCTGGATCAACATTAGCGAATCTACCCCGTATTGAACTGAACATGATGATCCTGGATCAACTTTAGCGAATCTACCCCGTATTGAACTGATCATGATGGTCCTGGATCAACATTAGTGAATCGACCCCGTATTGAACTGTTCATGATGATCCTGGATCAACATTAGCGAATATACCCCATATTGAACTGAACATGATGATCCTGGATTAACATTAGCGAATCTACCCCGTATTGAACTGATCATGATGGTCCTGGATCAACATTAGCGAATCTACACCGTATTGAACTGATCATGATGGTCCTGGATCAACATTAGCGAATCTACCCCGTATTGAACTGATCATGATGATCCTGGATCAACTTTAGCGAATCTACCCCGTATTGAACTGATCATGATGGTCCTGGATCAACATTAGCGAATCTACCCCATATTGAACTGAACATGATGATCCTGGATTAACATTAGCGAATCTACCCCGTATTGAACTGATCATGATGGTCCTGGATCAACATTAGTGAATCTACCCCGTATTGAACTGATCATGATGGTCCTGGATCAACATTAGCAAATCTACCCCGTATTGAACTGATCATGATGATCCTGGATCAACATTAGCGAATTTACCCCGTATTGAACTGATCATGATGATCCTGGATCAACATTAGCGAATCTACCCCATTTTGAACTGATCATGATGGTTCTGGATCAACATTAGCGAATCTACCCCGTATTGAACTGATCATGATGATCCTGGATCAACATTAGCGAATCTACCCCATATTGAACTGATCATGATGGTCCTGGATCAACATTAGCGAATTTACCCCGTATTGAACTGATCATGATGGTCCTGGATCAACATTAGTGAATCGACCCCGTATTGAACTGATCATGATGGTCCTGGATCAACATTAGCGAATCTACCCCATATTGAACTGATCATGATGGTCCTGGATCAACATTAGCGAATCGACCCCGTATTGAACTGATCATGATGATCCTGGATCAACATTAGCGAATCTACCCCATATGGAACTGATCATGATGATCCTGGATCAACATTAGCGAATCGACCCCGTATTGAACTGATCATGATGATCCTGGATCAACATTAGCGAATCTACCCCGTATTGAACTGATCATGATGATCCTGGATCAACATTAGCGAATCGACCCCGTATTGAACTGATCATGATGGTCCCGGATCAACATTAGCGAATCTACCCCGTATTGAACTGATCATGATGGTCCTGGATCAACATTAGCGAATCTACCCCGTATTGAACTGAACATGATGATCCTGGATCAACATTAGCGAATCGACCCCGTATTGAACTGATCATGATGGTCCCGGATCAACATTAGCGAATCTACCCCGTATTGAACTGATCATGATGGTCCTGGATCAACATTAGCGAATCTACCCCGTATTGAACTGAACATGATGATCCTGGATCAACTTTAGCGAATCTACCCCGTATTGAACTGATCATGATGGTCCTGGATCAACATTAGTGAATCGACCCCGTATTGAACTGTTCATGATGATCCTGGATCAACATTAGCGAATATACCCCATATTGAACTGAACATGATGATCCTGGATTAACATTAGCGAATCTACCCCGTATTGAACTGATCATGATGGTCCTGGATCAACATTAGCGAATCTACACCGTATTGAACTGATCATGATGGTCCTGGATCAACATTAGCGAATCGACCCCGTATTGAACTGATCATGATGGTCCTGGATCAACATTAGCGAATCTACCCCGTATTGAACTGATCATGATGGTCCTGGATCAACATTAGCGAATCTACCCCATATTGAACTGAACATGATGATCCTGGATCAACATTAGCAAATCTACCCCGTACTGAACTGATCATGATGGTCCTGGATCAACATTAGTGAATCTACCCCGTATTGAACTGATCATGATGGTCCTGGATCAACATTAGCAAATCTACCCCGTATTGAACTGATCATGATGATCCTGGATCAACATTAGCGAATTTACCCCGTATTGAACTGATCATGATGGTCCTGGATCAACATTAGCGAATCTACCCCATATTGAACTGATCATGATGGTCCTGGATCAACATTAGTGAATCTACCCCGTATTGAACTGATCATGATGATCCTGGATCAACATTAGCGAATCTACCCCATATTGAACTGATCATGATGGTCCTGGATCAACATTAGCAATCTACCCTACCCCGTATTGAACTGATCATGATGATCCTGAATTAACATTAGCGAATCTACCCCATATTGAACTGATCATGATGGTCCTGGATCAACATTAGCGAATCTACCCCGTATTGAACTGATCATGATGGTCCTGGATCAACTTTAGCGAATCTACCCCGTATTGAACTGATCATGATGGTCCTGGATCAACATTAGCGAATCAACCCCATATTGAACTGATCATGATGGTCCTGGATCAACATTAGCGAATCTACCCCGTATTGAACTGATCATGATGGTCCTGGATCAACATTAGCGAATCTACCCCATATTGAACTGATCATGATGGTCCTGGATCAACATTAGCGAATCTACCCCGTATTGAACTGATCATGATGGTCCTGGATCAACATTAGCGAATCTACCCCATATTGAACTGATCATGATGGTCCTGGATCAACATTAGCGAATCTACCCCGTATTGAACTGATCATGATGGTCCTGGATCAACATTAGCGAATCTACCCCGTATTGAACTGATCATGATGGTCCTGGATCAACATTAGTGAATCTACCCCGTATTGAACTGATCATGATGGTCCTGGATCAACATTAGCGAATCTACCCCGTATTGAACTGATCATGATGGTCCTGGATCAACTTTAGCGAATCTACCCCGTATTGAACTGATCATGATGATCCTGGATCAACATTAGTGAATCGACCCCGTATTGAACTGATCATGATGGTCCTGGATCAACATTAGCGAATCTACCCCATATTGAACTGATCATGATGGTCCTGGTTCAACATTAGCGAATCCACCCCATATTGAACTGATCATGATGATCCTGGATCAACATTAGCGAATATACCCCATATTGAACTGATCATGATGATCCTGGATCAACATTAGCGAATCTACCCTATTGAACTGATCATGATGATCCTGGATCAACATTAGCGAATCTACCCCATATGGAACTGATCATGATGATCCTGGATCAACATTAGCGAATCGACCCCAAATTGAACTGATCATGATGATCCTGGATCAACATTAGCGAATCTACCCCGTATTGAACTGATCATGATGATCCTGGATCAACATTAGCGAATCGACCCCGTATTGAACTGATCATGATGGTCCCGGATCAACATTAGCGAATCTACCCCGTATTGAACTGATCATGATGGTCCTGGATCAACATTAGCGAATCTACCCCGTATTGAACTGAACATGATGATCCTGGATCAACTTTAGCGAATCTACCCCGTATTGAACTGATCATGATGGTCCTGGATCAACATTAGTGAATCGACCCCGTATTGAACTGTTCATGATGATCCTGGATCAACATTAGCGAATATACCCCATATTGAACTGAACATGATGATCCTGGATTAACATTAGCGAATCTACCCCGTATTGAACTGATCATGATGGTCCTGGATCAACATTAGCGAATCTACACCGTATTGAACTGATCATGATGGTCCTGGATCAACATTAGCGAATCTACCCCGTATTGAACTGATCATGATGATCCTGGATCAACTTTAGCGAATCTACCCCGTATTGAACTGATCATGATGGTCCTGGATCAACATTAGCGAATCTACCCCATATTGAACTGAACATGATGATCCTGGATTAACATTAGCGAATCTACCCCGTATTGAACTGATCATGATGGTCCTGGATCAACATTAGCGAATCTACCCCGTATTGAACTGATCATGATGGTCCTGGATCAACATTAGCAAATCTACCCCGTATTGAACTGATCATGATGATCCTGGATCAACATTAGCGAATTTACCCCGTATTGAACTGATCATGATGATCCTGGATCAACATTAGCGAATCTACCCCATTTTGAACTGATCATGATGGTTCTGGATCAACATTAGCGAATCTACCCCGTATTGAACTGATCATGATGATCCTGGATCAACATTAGCGAATCTACCCCATATTGAACTGATCATGATGGTCCTGGATCAACATTAGCGAATTTACCCCGTATTGAACTGATCATGATGGTCCTGGATCAACATTAGTGAATCGACCCCGTATTGAACTGATCATGATGGTCCTGGATCAACATTAGCGAATCTACCCCATATTGAACTGATCATGATGGTCCTGGATCAACATTAGCGAATCGACCCCGTATTGAACTGATCATGATGATCCTGGATCAACATTAGCGAATCTACCCCATATGGAACTGATCATGATGATCCTGGATCAACATTAGCGAATCGACCCCGTATTGAACTGATCATGATGATCCTGGATCAACATTAGCGAATCTACCCCGTATTGAACTGATCATGATGATCCTGGATCAACATTAGCGAATCGACCCCGTATTGAACTGATCATGATGGTCCCGGATCAACATTAGCGAATCTACCCCGTATTGAACTGATCATGATGGTCCTGGATCAACATTAGCGAATCTACCCCGTATTGAACTGAACATGATGATCCTGGATCAACATTAGCGAATCGACCCCGTATTGAACTGATCATGATGGTCCCGGATCAACATTAGCGAATCTACCCCGTATTGAACTGATCATGATGGTCCTGGATCAACATTAGCGAATCTACCCCGTATTGAACTGAACATGATGATCCTGGATCAACTTTAGCGAATCTACCCCGTATTGAACTGATCATGATGGTCCTGGATCAACATTAGTGAATCGACCCCGTATTGAACTGTTCATGATGATCCTGGATCAACATTAGCGAATATACCCCATATTGAACTGAACATGATGATCCTGGATTAACATTAGCGAATCTACCCCGTATTGAACTGATCATGATGGTCCTGGATCAACATTAGCGAATCTACACCGTATTGAACTGATCATGATGGTCCTGGATCAACATTAGCGAATCTACCCCGTATTGAACTGATCATGATGATCCTGGATCAACTTTAGCGAATCTACCCCGTATTGAACTGATCATGATGGTCCTGGATCAACATTAGCGAATCTACCCCATATTGAACTGAACATGATGATCCTGGATTAACATTAGCGAATCTACCCCGTATTGAACTGATCATGATGGTCCTGGATCAACATTAGCGAATCTACCCCGTATTGAACTGATCATGATGGTCCTGGATCAACATTAGCAAATCTACCCCGTATTGAACTGATCATGATGATCCTGGATCAACATTAGCGAATTTACCCCGTATTGAACTGATCATGATGATCCTGGATCAACATTAGCGAATCTACCCCATATTGAACTGATCATGATGGTCCTGGTTCAACATTAGTGAATCTACCCCGTATTGAACTGATCATGATGATCCTGGATCAACATTAGCGAATCTACCCCATATTGAACTGATCATGATGGTCCTGGATCAACATTAGCAAATCTACCCTACCCCGTATTGAACTGATAATGATGATCCTGGATCAACATTAGCGAATCTACCCCATATTGAACTGATCATGATGGTCCTGGATCAACATTAGCAAATCTACCCCGTATTGAACTGATCATGATGGTCCTGGATCAACATTAGCGAATTTACCCCGTATTGAACTGATCATGATGGTCCTGGATCAACATTAGTGAATCGACCCCATATTGAACTGATCATGATGGTCCTGGATCAACATTAGCGAATTTACCCCGTATTGAACTGATCATGATGGTCCTGGATCAACATTAGTGAATCGACCCCATATTGAACTGATCATGATGGTCCTGGATCAACATTAGCAAATCTACCCCGTATTAAACTGATCATGATGGTCCTGGATCAACATTAGTGAATCGACCCCATATTGAACTGATCATGATGGTCCTGGATCAACATTAGCAAATCTACCCCATATTGAACTGATCATGATGGTCCTGGATCAACATTAGCGAATCTACCCCATATTGAACTGATCATGATGGTCCTGGATCAACATTAGCGAATCTACCCCGTATTGAACTGATCATGATGGTCCTGGATCAACATTAGCGAATTTACCCCGTATTGAACTGATCATGATGATCCTGGATCAACATTAGTGAATCTACCCCGTATTGAACTGATCATGATGGTCCTGGATCAACATTAGTGAATCGACCCCGTACTGAACTGATCATGATGGTCCTGGATCAACATTAGCGAATCTACCCCGTATTGAACTGATCATGATGGTCCTGGATCAACATTAGTGAATCGACCCCGTATTGAACTGATCATGATGATCCTGGATCAACATTAGTGAATCGACCCCGTATTGAACTGATCATGATGGTCCTGGATCAACATTAGCGAATCTACCCCATATTGAACTGATCATGATGGTCCTGGTTCAACATTAGCGAATCCACCCCATATTGAACTGATCATGATGATCCTGGATCAACATTAGCGAATATACCCCATATTGAACTGATCATGATGATCCTGGATCAACATTAGCGAATCTACCCTGCATTGAACTGATCATGATGATCCTGGATCAACATTAGCTAATCTACCCCATATGGAACTGATGACTTTATAACAATTATCAAAATATTGATTACAATCATATTCAAAAAGCAGATATTCTACTGTTTTTTTTAAAAACGCATGTACTTTTTGCACACTTTATTCTGACTAAAAGCATAGTAGTCTGTTTTAAAGAGCAGTAATTTATTACCATTTTTAAAACATTATTATAAAATTGTAAGGAATATTACATTTGTGTGTAAGAGTATGTGAGAAGGAAGACTTTTAGGGGTTATAGAGAAAAGCAAGCTAAGCTATTAGCAAGCTAAGCTATTAGCTCACCGGCACATGGCAGTTGTATGTTCAGAGTTGCATTACATTATGCCATTTAAGTGTAATATTTCAGGATTTTTTCGTGAATAAATACATTTACAAAGGTAGATTTTTAGTTAGGGAGAGGGTGAAAGAAAGAGGACAGACAAAATAACTTACCTTTTGTCGGTCAGCATAGGAAGGTGGGGAGGGAAGATTCAAAATGGAGTGACGGGTTTTTGGGTCGGCACACACGGATGACATCAGAGGCTTGTGATTGGTTGATTAAATGTTGATCCAGGATCAACAAAATATGTTGATCCAGGAACACCTCTTACTTGGCAAAATCACGGTCACCGTTTCAAACCATAGAGTGATTTGTTAAGTCTACAGACAAGCTTCTCACTTGTTTCTGACATGACCTCAAATTCTTCTGGCTGTTCCATATATAATTCAGTATCAATGGGGGCGTGCAAATATGCAGTCTTTACATCCATTTGATGCAGTTCTAAACCATATTGAGCTGCAATTTGCATTAAACTACGTATTGATGTCATGTCAGCAGTTGGAGAGAAAGTTTCATTGTAATCAATACCTGCAATTTGACTATACCCCTTCGCTACATACCGAGCTTTGTATGTTGTCCCAACTGGGTTTTCCTTCAATGTGTAGACCCATCTACCCCCCACTACATTTTTACCTTCAGGTAGTGTTGTAAGTGTAAACGTATCATTCTCCTTAAGAGAGTTCATCTCCTCCTGCATGGCCTTACTCCACAATTCTGACTCTGGTGAACTTATAGCCTCTCTTAGAGTGTGGGGTACATCACCTGCATGATCATCATCACTGTTTATTCCACACTCATAATCTCTCAAATACTGTGGAGGCCTCTTCTCCCTCTGTGGATAACACCTGCTCTCAACACTTTCCTTTTCACCTGTGTTGGGGCTTGGGTCACACGTTTCAGTTCTTATGTCCTGGGGTTCTATTTTCTCAGGTTTTGGTAGGTGAGTTTTGGCGCTCTCCCTACGCACATCATCTTCACACGTTAACTGATCTGTGATCTGGCATTCTGTCCCACTCTTTGTGATAAACTCCACCAACCTACTTTTGTTCACTTTCCCTGAATCTGGATAGAAAACTAGATATGCAGGGCTATTCTTGTCATAACCAATGAAAATCCCTTTTTCACATCGAGAGTCTAACTTTTTCTTGTTCTGTTTGTATGCATAACACTCTGACCCAAATATTCTCATTCTTGAAAGATCAGGCTTCTTTCCAGTCAGCATATAGTATGGGGTCTGTTCTACACGTCTGTTATAACATCTGTTGCGAATAACAGCTGCAGTCTGGATTGCATACGTCCATAACATTTTTGGCAAGCTACTCTGGATTAACATACACCTCGCCATGTCAAGTAAAGTTCTCCAACTCCTCTCAGCGGTTCCATTCTGATGGGGTGAATAGGGAGCTGAGGTCTCGTGTCTAATTGCATTTTTACTGAGCAGGGTCTGAAATTCCCTGGATGTAAATTCGGTGCCATTATCAGATCTCATACATTTAATTTTACCATAAGGTGAAACATCAGCAATGAACTTCTCTGTTCCTTTGACTGCATCACTCTTTGCTCTCAAAAAATATGTAAAGATTGCACCTGAATAGTCATCAGTAAATGCCAAGATATATCTGAACCCATCTTTTGCTACCGGTTCCATAGGTCCAGCTAAATCTGTGTGCACAAGTCCAAGGGGAACTTTTGCTTTTTCATCTGCCTCCCTGTTCCTGCTCTGAACAAATTTCCCTTGTATGCACACTTCACATTTTAAATTAGACATTTCCGTTTTACCTTTAATTTTCATCCCCTTTGTAACATTTTCCAGCTTCAACACATCCTCATAATTACAGTGACCAAGAATTTCATGCCATGTGTGAATATCGTAACATACATGACATTGATCAACATCATCTGCGACCGTGCTTAAATAGAACAGTCTATCATACACCTGAATGTCAAATGTCACACCGTTCTTATGAACAAGTCTGTTCTGACCTTCTTTAAAAATGACCGTCGCTCCCTGGGACGTCGCTGCCTTGACTGAAAAGATGTCCTGTGGAAAAGATGGGACGTACAGCGCCCCCATCAGCATCGTGTCCACCACTTGACCATTGTTGTCTCTCAGGCGAACTTGGGCCGTACCTTTCCTCAGGGCGATACCGCTGGTCTCAAAGCTCAAAACTTTTATCAAAGTCTTTGAACTGTGTAATGTCCCGGATGATATGCGACGTTGCTCCTGTATCAACCATGAGACCTTTTTCCTTCACCCCGTTGGCCATGACGGCATCCACTTGGCCCACCTTAAAAGCAAAAGTGTGGTCCTCCTCATCCATCACCTGTTTCACGTTGTCCCGCTTTCTCCACTTGCAATTCACATTCCTGTGCGTGAAACTTTTACAAAAATTACACCACTGTCGCTGTTCTCGATTCTCACTCGTAGTAGAAATGCACTCCACAGCCTTATGTCCCTTCTGTCCGCAGTTAAAACAGGTCAATTTCGTTATTCCACCCGTCTCTTGCTTTCACCTTCATCACACTGTCATCCTCTGAGCAAGCAGCACTAAACTTTTCTGTGCTCTCATAACTCCTCAGCTTTGTTTTGAACTCTGTAAAAGTTATCGTTTCATCACTTTGGGTTATGTGAATGGAAAAGGGCTTAAAAGAGTCCGGTAAGCCCTTCAGAACCATTGCAATCAATAAGCCATCACTTAAAGTCTCTTTCGCATTTCTCAAAGCTGTAATAGCGGTCTCTGCGCGAATGACATAATCTGTGACGCTCTCATTGACAGCTTTCTGAAGAGATGTAAGCTCTGTGTATAAGTTGATCACTCGTGGTTTCCCTGTACCAGCATAGTGTTCTCTCAGAATCTTTAACGCCTTTCTTCCATCATCCGCTGCATCTCTCATCACAAGGGAAAGGCTTTTATCATCCAACAGCTGTATCAGTTCTGCATACGCGTCCTCATTTTTCTCCGCGTCTTCTTCTTCCTCGTCATCATCAGGTTCACTCAGTATGGTGCTCTTTAAACCGAGCTGACGCAGGTGCGCCAGAAACTTAGTTTCCCACAGTTCATAATTTTTCTCATCCCCGTCAAAACATAAACGGTTCCACCGGCTTCCAAACTCCTTCCTGGGCCCATAACCTGTTGACTTTGCCATCATAACATAAAGGGTAGAAAACCGGCTAAACACATGACGGATGAATAAACTCACGTAGCCATCAGATTTCGTTTGACTGTCGTGCACACTCACACACGAGCATGCAGTCATTTATTAAATTGCAACACCTGAAGAACATAATGAACAAACCACACCCCTTAGACTCACACTCCCTTAGTCAATATACATAATAAGAGCACATTCAAGGTCACCAATATTCAACAGTGTTTAAATCTTGGGGGTCAATGCAGATCCTTATGTCCTTTGTTTGCTTCTTGTTTGTTGCTACCATGGATGACACCCATTCGGTCGGCTCTGACACGGGAGTGATGACACCCAGGTCTGTCATTCTCTCTAGCTCTGCCTTCACTCTGTCCTGCATGGCTACAGGGATGCGGCGTGTTGGGCGGACTACAGGTTGCACGTCGGGGTCTATTTTCATAGAATATGTCACCCGTAGCTTGCCAAGTTCATCCTTGAATAGATCTGCATACTCTGTGAAGATCTTGTGTGGCAGGTTGATATCCGTGTTCACACTGAGTTGGTGAACATCCCTGCTCAGCGTCACTAGCTTCATGTGTTGGCTTGCTAGTAGACCTAGTAGTGGCTGGACATTTCTCTCCACAATGTGGAACCGTAATTTGTATTACTGACCTGCAAGCTGACATCGCAGGACGACTGAGCCCATGGTGCTGATCGTGTTTCCCCCATAAGCGACAAGGTTGGTGATTATTGAGCGGTCAATCGGTTCCCCGCTCTCCACATGTTTGAAAGCATCATATGATATAACGTTGCACTGTCCACCTGTGTCGACTTTCATCTCTACAGCTTTGCCGTTGATGTGTACAGTGGCGAACGCTACATTTTTCTCATGTACATTTGAGTCTATTGTGTCCACGACAACTGGTGTTATTCCATCTATACAGAATGAGTCATCTTCAGCAGTGCTGCACGTGGTCTGGTTCAGTTCGAGGTGGTGGACAGACTCCCTGGAGCTTTGTATCCTAGAGTATCTCTGTACTGACCTGCAGCATTTCTTGTAGTGGTTCCATTTTTTTACATGCATGGCATTGTTGACCAGAAGCTGGACAGCTTTCTCTTTTTGCATCATGGCTACCACCACAATTATTACAGTTGACAATGGGCTGTTCATTTCTCCCTGTCTGTGCTCTCTGTCGTGAGCCAAAGCTCTGCTTCCTCCCACATTTGTACTGCAGAGTGTCAACACTAGGAGAAACATGCAATGATGACAATACCCTGGTGTGCTGTTCTGTTTGCTCATAAATTTGACACAGTGAGATGGCTTTAGCTAGAGTTAGCTCGTTGTCACGCAGCATTATTTTTCTTAGATTATCATCAGTTATGCCACAGACCAGTCTATCACGGATGAGCTCGTCTTGCAGTGTTCCGAAGTTACAGCCCTTTGCTTTTATTCTTAGATCTGTGACATATGATTCGAAAGGCTCACCTTGGTGTTGGAACCGTGTGTTGAACTTGTGTCTCTCCACTATAATGTTTATTCGGGGGCTGCAAATCGCCCGGAATTTTCTCTTCAGAAATTCAGGGTTCTCCTTTATCTTAGCCGGAGTAATGATTAGGGTGGCCATACGTCCGGATTTTGGCCGGACAGTACGGATTTTAAGCTCCGTGTCCGGCGTCCGGCGCAGCCTCAAGCCGGACACTCATTTGTCCTCCTTTTTGGAGTTGATCTGAATTGGCCAAAAAAAAGAATCTCTAGAATCTTTATTGAGACGCAGCAGCAGCATAGCGTCTAATGCCGTAGATCTCTAGTCAAACACATGATTGCAGGGTTGCCAACTCTCAAGCATTGAGCGTGAGTTTCACGCAAAATTGAGCCAATTCTCACGCTCTCACGCCACACCCCCGATTTCTCACGCTGAAGTGTGAATCCGGCCGGTCAAATCCCTGAAAGATGAGTTTATCTATAGATCTACCTGATGAGCCACTCGTGATCGACTAGTTTTACCGCAAATTAGTTAAAAAATACACTAATCTAGAGCTTAGCACCTAACGGCACGGACGCAAAGCCAGGACTGCAGCAAAAGCCCGTTCCTCTCTGCACTCTAGTCTTAGTGTTCTGTTATCACTCCACTCTAATCCACTACGGGTTTTCCAGTCTCACTCACAGGAAAAAACTGCTCCGTGTTCAATCTAATTTAAAAAAGATAATCTTATGTTTTATTTTTTTATATATCACAAACGTCTGAATTTATAATACTATATGTAATGCTCTGGAATTCTACATGTTTAATAAATGTTCCAACTGCTTACACAAGGAAACAGTATGGGAAAGCGCACCCAGGTAAAAATAAGAATTTGACAAATTCTACAAACAATCTGTTTGCCAACAGTTAATGCGCACGACGGCAGAAAGGTAATATATGCAGCACGCGCACGACGCAAACCCCCAAACGTTGATTTTATGAATGGGAATATGAATATTATATGACATATGAATATGTATTGGGTTTAAAATCATACCCCCCCCCCCCCTCGTCCTCATTTTCAGTGTTATGGAAATGGCCACTAGTAATGATTGGTCCCGGTGTGTCGTCAACGTTGGGTCCTCTCACCGTGGGCGCGTAGACGAACGACCTCTCCCTTTCAATGGCTTCCGATCCTGCGAGATTTAGGAGAATGTAGGCTTGTGTGCGGGCCGGCTTGTCAGAGTGTGCCGCCGCAATAAAAATGTCATATTCCTGTTCGAATACTCGCCAATTCTCCGCGATATTCTCCTCAAAGACGAGGGGGTCCGGTCTGCGAAATCCGTCCGCCATGACGCGCACTTTATGTCCGTTAGCAGGATAGCCGGTAGCAGCGTTAGAAGCTGGTTATTGTCCTTATTAGACTGGCGAACAGTCGTGCGCTCCGTGATGAATGAGCTGCACTATCAAAAGTGTCCGTGTTCACTTCTGACACCATGTAGAATGACTTGTCAGACGGAATACTTTATAAACCGAACTCTGTTTATTAGCTTGCTTGTACAGCTCTCTGTCACCAGTAACATTTTCCAGCCTCGTC